AAAGCTGTGTATCTATAAAGTTTCCTCTGCACAAGTGAAGGAGCCAGTCTCCTTTCAGTGTATGCACCCCTCACTGCGAGTAAATGTGTCGACACCCCAGCTGTGACAGATGACTGTATTTGCATGTAACACAGGCCAGAGCGGAGCAGGAAACAACTGGGCCAAAGGCCACTACACCGAGGGGGCTGAGCTGGTGGACTCGGTCCTGGATGTGGTGAGGAAGGAGGCAGAGAGCTGCGACTGCCTCCAGGGCTTCCAGCTTACGCACTCCCTCGGAGGAGGCACCGGCTCCGGCATGGGCACCCTGCTCATCAGCAAGATCCGAGAGGAGTACCCTGACCGCATCATGACCACTTTCAGCGTGGTGCCTTCTCCCAAGGTTCACATGATACGCATGTTTCAACTTTAAATATTTGCCCCTCCACGTGCTCCTCAGTGCTTTTAATGCTGTTCCCTCTTCCTCTCTTTTGTCTCCCCTCTCCCACTCTCCTGCTCCAGGTGTCAGACACAGTGGTGGAGCCGTACAATGCCACCCTCTCCGTCCACCAGCTGGTGGAGAACACCGATGAGACCTTCTGCATTGATAATGAGGCCCTGTATGACATCTGCTTCCGCACACTGAAGCTCACCACGCCCACCTACGGTGACCTCAACCACCTCGTCTCCGCCACCATGAGCGGGGTGACCACCTGCCTGCGCTTCCCCGGCCAGCTCAACGCTGATCTGAGGAAGCTGGCCGTCAACATGGTGCCCTTCCCCAGGCTGCACTTCTTCATGCCGGGCTTTGCCCCGCTGACCAGCCGAGGCAGCCAGCAGTACAGGTAGAGACGCAGGAGCTTGCTTTTTAGAGACTCAAACAGACCTCAAGTTTCATGAATTTGAAATGAATCCTAATTTATATCGTCTGTCTCCTTCTAGGGCATTGACAGTTCCCGAACTCACCCAGCAGATGTTCGACAGCAAGAACATGATGGCAGCGTGCGACCCCCGCCACGGGCGCTACCTCACGGTCGCCGCCATCTTCCGGGGCCGCATGTCCATGAAGGAGGTGGACGAGCAGATGCTGAACGTGCAGAACAAGAACAGCAGCTACTTCGTGGAGTGGATCCCCAACAACGTCAAGACGGCCGTCTGCGACATCCCGCCCCGTGGCCTCAAGATGGCCGCCACCTTCATTGGCAACAGCACGGCCATTCAGGAGCTGTTCAAGCGCATCTCTGAGCAGTTCACTGCCATGTTCCGCCGCAAGGCCTTCCTCCACTGGTGAGTAAGAGAAGGCTGGTGTCAGGACAGTGGGGAGAATTTTCCTGCACTTTGCTTTTTACCCAGAATTCATAGACATAACGCATGTGAGTAAGAGCTTACTTGTTTCAGGTACACGGGCGAGGGCATGGACGAGATGGAGTTCACGGAGGCTGAGAGCAACATGAATGACCTGGTGTCCGAGTACCAGCAGTACCAGGAGGCCACTGCTGAGGAAGAGGGGGAGTTTGAAGAGGAGGGTGAAGAGGACATGGCCTAGATGCCTACCATGACCCTTTTTTATTATTATTTTTTTTTTTTCTATGCCACAGTTAGGGCTCGGTCAACACGGTTCATATTGTTGTAGAGTTATTAAATACTGTTATTAAAACAATCGTTTTTGACAACAGTTATAATAATTGCCCAGCAATTCTACTGATAGGCATCAAGTGAAAATATTGAACTCTTGTCCAGCCTTAGCAAGAATGCAAAGGATTTTTCTAGTCTTGGTTTCTAAATGTTTGTTCTGTCTCTTCTTCTGTCTTCTTCTCACTTCTTTTAGGAATGAAATGATTTCGTTCAGCAACAAAAATTAAAAACTTAATAAAGGTTTTATGAATGGTGCTATGCTGTGTGGTTTCTTATGGCTACTTATAAATATGACTTTATTACAGATTTTTTTTATCACTCAAATTATAAATCTTGAACCTGTCTACTAGCAGTACTTAAAGACTTCCTGATCCAGCAGACATCTTTGTCCAATACTTCGACTCTTTGTAACATGACATCACGGAAAATAAGAAACGAGTTAAAATGAACAAAAACATCTTTTATATCTTGAGAGAATATGCATATGACGATACCTGTACGACGTCTATGCAAAATGAGTGATGTAAGCCTGTTATGTAAAGTTTCTGTCCATCAGTTCAAAGGAAGTGATGTAGCAGAACAGGCAACAGATCTGATAACATGCAGCTTCCGTGTGGGCCTACTCATGCCCTCAGATTAAAAGATCAACTTTCCTCTGATCCTCGTCAAACCACGCCAACTCCCTTAGACTGTACACAACCTAATATTTGTGTTCATGGCCTTGTGATGCATTCCTGCATATGTTTGAAGAAAGATGTGTCCAAATCGGTGTGAATTATTGGTGGAGAGAATATCATCTGACCAAGTTAAATTGATATTTAGTAAGTTACAGAAGGGAACGTCTAGGTTTCTGCTCACAACAAGGTCTGTGGATCATCTCTGGAAAGCGACATTGCTGTTGAGTTTTTCAAATCTTCCATCACATTCTGCTTCACGTTGGTGCTTATTAGTGAGACTGGGAGAACACAGGAGAATAGGAGTCAACACATTAAAGAGAAGAGAATCCATTCATAACTGATACATTCCCTTATTAAATATAATTCGGACAGAAACCGAACCAAAAAACAAAGGTCTCAGTGAAAAAATGTGAACAGATACTGATCTCAAACAGTCAATCTCTCTCACACACAAACTTTAAGAATCAAATGTTCCAAAAATGCACAAACTTCGATTACACTCTCAACATCACATTTAGTTTCAATCGTGCCTTCGTTATAAATGCTTCACCTTGCGACCGCGGAAAGAAAGGAATAAGATGACTTTTTAATACTGGATGACAATACAGCATTTTGTGCATGACAATAAATTTTTTATTTTTTAATTTCCTCTGCAGCAGAGTGTTACAGTGTCGTTCAACAGAACTAATGCTAATGGCTCAGCGCCAGACGACAAGGTGAACACTTAATGCCAGCAGACATCTGTCAGCTTCACATTTGGGCTTCTACACTGTAACAGACTCCATATGAAACATGAGGCGAAGGTAAAGGCACGTCAGCTTCCATCACAAAATATATAATAAGAGCTGAAACAAACAAAATAGATCCATTATGAAACGCACGGTGTATTGTGGGTAGTGGAGTCATTATTACCATGAAGAACAAACTCATATTTTCGTTAAATCTAAACTGGTCCAGTAAACAAGCAGAATTCATATGAAAGGAAAACAAGAAAATATAAATCATGATCCAGAATTCTAAGAAATGAGTCACTGATGTCAAATTGACATTATAAGACATGTCCAGACATGATTGTGTACGTTTAACACCTCTTTGACAAGTACTGAGACGTGGTTGAGCAGCAACCCTATGGGCCAATCGTGTTTTCCATATTTAGTCTATGTTGACCAGGGGCGGGCTGGCCATAGGGGATACCGGGGAAATCTCCGGTAGGCCGACGAGGTTGGGGTGGTCCATCACCGCTCTGCCCCGCCGAGCCCGACTATATTCTATGCTTCACAGAACACGTTAATTTTATTCTAATACTTAAGGTTGAAAATCACTGACTGAGATTTATACTACTCCTCGCGATCTGTATTCACACTCATGGTTTCCATCTGCGAGCCGGCAGCACCCCTACACACACACGCACACACACACAGCATGCAATCTGCCCCAAAGAGGCGGGTCTATGAAGCAGTTTAGCCAATGATGCTTTAATGCTGATTACAGATATAAATGAGTGACATACAATTTAGCTGTCTGAGAAATGGATATATAGTTATAAATAAATAATTATATATATGTGTGTTTTATATTATAGTGAATATTAATATATGATATATATATTATTATACGATATATATATTATTATATGATATATATATTATTATATTATACAGCATATTATTATATGATTTATATATTATTATATTATACTGAATTCCCTGTGTGGGTGACACAAATAAGATTTCCTGACGTGTTTGTCAAAGTGTTATTTACTGCTTTTTTTCATGTTGGAATAAAAGTTAAATATTTAACTGCAAAGTAGTAATACGTGTTTGATACCTTAATTTTTTTGCATTAAATCATTCTGGGATGTTTGCTGAAATTGATTGGATGTGGCACAGCCCTACCTAGAACATTTTCCACCAGCTCCACTGTGTATAACCATCTGATACTAGCCCAGAGTTAAGCATATTCATCTAGCAAACTATACCTACAGTACCTTGGAGTGTTACAATAGCCAGTATCATTTTATTCCATGTGTCCATCCAGGCAAATTCGTGGATCCAAATGTTATAAAAAAAAACATATATGATGTAATTTCTTTGTAATCATCCAAAATAATGTTAAGTGTATGGGTATTTTTCCAAGTAGGCCACTGACTGGTCGATGCGTGCGATGCATTGAGTGGGCAACGCGCCGTGTATTGAGTGGGCCGGTCTGACAGTAACTCCCGGGCCACTTTTTTCCCCCAGTCCGCCCCTAATGTTGACTATCTATTTGCCAGTTTAGAAACATTGTTCAGAATACATTCAAAGTCAGAGGTCCAAGCAACAGACCGTGGATCTTGAATGGATGGATGAACAGAACCAGCATGAACACTGCTGACACAGTGGTAAAAACCTTAGGCACATTGTCATAATACTTGCTTTTGAGTGGATGTATGGCCAACAAAAAACACACAACACCATAAACACCATCAGTTATAATGCAGGAATAGTCGAGGGTCAGGGTTGAGAAGAGTCCTGTGATAGTACTTTGAGTTGTCTGCTGCTCATTCAAATTGTCCCAATTCTATTTGTCAGATTAGGGAACAACGGCAAAGTGCAAGAGGAGAAACAAAAAGAGGCTTTTTAGATATTGGCACGGTTAAAAAGAGGAAAGTTACAGGACTACATAAAGGGAGAGCATAGAGGGAGCATAGATCCCATTGTAATTGTAATCATAATAATTGAAAACACTCCCAGTCATGATAATGGTGCGGCCATAATTCTTAATATCAGTGTGCCATATCAACATCAAGGTTGACTTTGATGTTTAATGACCTTAAAGATAAAGTTTAAATTATGACACCACATCAAAATTTAAATCTTCAACGGATCTGTACTTTCATTCCATCCATACTGATGAGAGGGCACAAGAATTTCCAAAAAAAACCCTCTCTTCCACACTTATTGCCAGTGTGCATTGGTTAAGCTCCCGTGCCTGAGGCTGCCGACCCCTGGTACAGAGCATAGTAGATTATGTGCACTGCAATATAATAATTAAGTGGATGTGTGAAATGAGCTACTCCTCCACTTTACCTCCAGAGGCTATATGAGTGAAGCCTGGAGGGGAGACGGGGAGACGGGAGAGTTGTTTGGAGGGAATTAAGGCCACAAAGGATGAAGAATAATCATAATCATCAGATAACTAGACAACAATAAAACAACAAAAGATGAGAGGCACTGTGAGTCTCCTCTATCATTACAAGGGTTACACTGACATACAGTATACTGGTTTAACAGCATATTCAATCCGATATTGGTCGACGTATTTTGTGAAACGACATATTTGATGGTTCATTTATCAAAACCACACTGGATGTCTGTGGTACGTGCTTCACTTGAACTGAGTGACAATTTTTTTCCATCAAGTTTTGTGCAGCTATGGATGAACACGCCACACTGTCAAGTTCCAAAACCCTGCTCACCAGCACCACCACAACGCGGGCTTGTCCTGTCAGAGTGTCCGTGAGCGAGACACTGATCCTAATGCTCAGGATGGGTCAAATGCAGAGGTCACATTCCATCTATGTACCGCTCTGTATATGACAGTTTGTTTTCAAGTTGTTTTTGTTATTGTTCTCAAAATGTAATTGTTTTGGATTTTGGTGAAATTTAAAAGCAATTCATAAATACCGAGCTGATGCAAAGCGGGGCAAAAAACGATAAAACAGAACATTCAAACCCATCAATCCACAGATCTGACAGGGCCTGATGGATGTGAACCCCTCGCCAAGTTTGTAAACTCATTGTGCGTTTATGTGGGGGAGCGGCTGGCCCCCGAGTTACCTAAATGCAATGATCGTTTGTCTTTCATCGTGTCTGCGTTCTGTCTTTCCCGCTTCAAAGACCCGTCAGCCTCCGTACGCACAGCTGTTATTCACTGTCAGCGGATTTCGCCATCAGAGAGGGTGTCCGCTGCAGAGAAGAGATCAGCAGGGTGTGAACTAGCAGAGCTTCGTGTCACTGTAAACTGTGGTTGTCAGCGGCGGCTGAGGGCGGATGCCGAGCTGCTTCATGTTGCAGGTGCTGGTGAACCTCTCTGACGGCCAAGATGCGCGTGAGCATGCTCTGTAGAGTGGTGGCCTCTAACGGTTGTGAGGTGTACCAGTGGGAACTGTTGAGGTCAGAGATGGAAAGGAAAAACATTTTGTTATTTTGTACTGGATTAGTGCAGGAGTCTCCAACAAATGACAGTAAAAACAGTGAAGGCTGTACTTTGTTGACAGATTGTGAATCCTGTCCCATCTCTTGCAATCAATCCCCCCACAAGCACTAACGTGAAACTTCGTACTGTTGAAATTGCGATGCGCCATACAGAAAAAGTGCAGCCTCATGCATTTTCTATCATTGTAATCAAAACCTCATATCTTACTTCACAAAAATATTACAGTGTACACTGCTATGCTAAGGCTTGTTTGTCATTCAGATGGCACTGACATGCTTACTTTGGAGAAAGAGAACTCAAAAAGGATTTTGAGCAAGTAACAGGCTTTTACACTTACTGCTTTACAAATGCTACAGCTGATTCGAGAAATCTACCGAAGAG